CGCTACAAATCTCATACGTGAACCTATAAATGTTCCTACCGTTTGGTACACAGTTACTTGGTACGATTGGTCTTGTTGTTAGGTTATTCACTCAGCACACTTTTGATATTACTGCTTGTTCTGTTGTTGTTGTTGTAATCGTTGTTGGTTGTGAGCTATTTTCTCAATGTGGGAGACATACTATCTACCTTATTCGCTGCCTAAGGAAGACCTTAACACAAAATCCCCTCTAAGGCCCTTATCTCAGACAACACCGACTATAAATCAACAGTACGTACTAGGTCCCCCACCGTTCTTGTTACTTCGACCTATGGTTGGGCTATATGTTAGTTTATCTCCTATATGACCTTGTGTGAAAGCTCTTCTACCTAACCCCTCCAATGCCAGTTGTAGATCCTATCTTGATCCCCCGCAAGCAACGGGATCCCTCATAACCCGTCGCACCTCACGGCCCTACCCACACCCTAAGTAGAGCCCTAAGGTTTTTGTATCCGTGCTTGCATCCCAGTACCTGATTGAATTTGAACACGCAACCTCAAATGTGCAGTCCCCATATCAAACTCACTGAGCTGTGAAAACTAGTTTATTTGGGCACGACACTGAACCAGAAGACAAATGAACAATCATATGAACAACTCACAGACCAAGAACCTCATGAAAACCCTCATAGGCTGGAGTGAACATACAACATTTTTGGATTGAGTATGTTGGGTGGTGTGACAATGTCTGTAAATCTTGTCGTACACCAATCCTAAGGAAAAGGTGTGTACAACTATGCGTCGGTCAACACCCGCTGTTGTCCATGAGTGAGGCTTTGAAACTTTGAACTTCCAACGTTAAACCACAATTCGTATTTATAACCGATGCTCTGCCCACTAAGCGATAAAATGCAAAATTTTAAGGTCGGGGGGCGGACCATCATTGAACTGATCGGCCCAAATACTTTTTTTTTTTTTTGCTTTGTTCATCTGATTGTGTCTGGATTACAACTTGGGTCTGCATTTCAACAGTTCACGGGTAAACCAAGTTTTTTTTTGTGGGGGGGAAGAAAAAACAAGGAATCCATTATCACGAACCATAAGGTTGGGAATTCGTCACAAACAACCATAAAAAAAAAAACACTTCGTCACATGTTGGGACCGTTGCCCAACTTTAGGTTCGCGAGTTTTACCCCAACAACACTTAGCAAAGCCACAACAAACCTCAATTAACAAGGTGTGAGGAGAACTTCCTGTCGCTGTTATCATGCAAGAAACAAATAAAGATAAAACAATTAAACTTGCAAACTTACCCAATAATAGGTATCATCCCCGACTCTATCTACCTTCCCTACCCCCTCTACCCGGTGTCAGACCAAATATCCTTACAAGGGTATTTGGTCATGTTTTTTTAGTCGAAACAGCGACGACATCAACCACCATGACAGGGCCGGTCTGAAATAAAAAGGGTGTGTGCGGTTAGTGTCACACTAAGTCTTGTAACGACGTCCTCGACCTTTGAGGCCGGGGCCAATCGATGAGAAAATTTCGAACGAATGCCCGCACGTTGTTATGACACGCGCTGTGATGGTTAGGATCAGTAGTAATACCCTATAACCGAAAAGGTCGAAGGGTTGATTAGGTTAGTGTTGTGTCAGGTAAATCTACGACACACACTGAGACTTGGGCTGATACCTGTCTACCTACCGATACTGGACCTCTAAAAATGTTAATTTTTGTCTTCTTCTGCTCGACCTTGAGTACTCCGCACATCTACCTCTACTTCATATAATACCGACCTACCTGCTACTTGAGTGTTTCTCACTGCTCTTAGGGATAGCGGACCTCCTTTCCCGCCACTTGAGTGTTTTCCCCGTCGCGGCCCTCAATGTCGTGGCCACAGCTAAGTACCGGTGTCGGGCGCGGCGGTTTCACACCCAGACGCAAAGTATTTTCAGTGTCGGACCTCACGGTCGCATCACGCAAAAGTTTTAGAAGCGTTTCAGCAAAAGACCAACTCCGACCGTGCGCGCCAGCTATACCTCTCATGGCTCCCTGCGACAGGACAGAGGTCCCGCGAGGTACAACTCACCTCCACCTGCGGGAGCTCTCTTAGGTGGGCGTATCCCTGCTGAGCTACCGACTCACGTGCGAAGGTTTTTACTTGCAATCGCAAAGGTAAATCAAACCAGGGCATTTGCTCGATCGCCGTAGCATAGGCATACGCGTGTTGAACGCCTAAGACTGACCCGTATACGTGTCGAGCATCGGGGCGCTGATCTCCCAGAGCGACTCACAATTCAGGTCGACTCGACCGACGGCCATTCGCGCATACTATGCTTTGACTATAGTTAGTTTCAATAGGTATGACTTACAACCTAGCCCCTTTTCGGAACACAATCCCCTCAGTACTTGAATTATCACGGGTCGCTCGTAAGACATATACCCTGGGGTGGTTCTTTAACTGCAAGGCGCTTCACGAAGCAAAGTTTTTCATGTACGCATCACCGACCGTGTTATCCAACGATCGATTTTTTTTTTTTTTTCTACAAGCGATGTTGAAGCACTGTCGGTCGATTGCAGTTATTTGCCTAGCATGTTTTGTCGGTTATTGCCATACGCATTCATGCAAGCTTTGTTTGGTACACGTCTCGCATGTTGCGATTCATGGCAGATGTCCTCCGGGGGTTCCCGCTCCTGTTGCTGGCCACTCTTTTCCTGCTCCTTGTCGTGTTGCTTCACGTGTGCGTCGTTGTGCGGGGTCCTGACAGCAAACCGAAATGACGAATGGTGAGGAAGACGACGATGGATAGATGGGAAACCTCCAGCAGACAGCCGACACGTGCTATTGACTACTCCACTCCACAACTTATCCTTGTAGTAGCCCTCCGCCGCATCGTCAACCGGTTGGAGATCCTCCCATGTCCCTCCCGTCCTTCTCCTCATCCATCATCTCGGCGTCGCCCGTGGGACCACACCCGATGCCATAGCGCAACCGAATTGCACAATGGATTCCGATAACGACACACAATCGGGTGCATCCATCACTTGTTGCATCAACTGCCTCTGCCTGCGAACGAACAATCTCATCCTCAAGCGAGTTATCGTTCTCTCAATGCGATAACGCATGGCGACGATGGACGCAACTGCGACCACCGTGTTTCTCTCCAATGTCGTTAATGCCTTCGCACCACCCGGGAGTTCTCGTTCCATCGTCAAGACTTGCAATGCGCAAGCACCCACCACTCGTTCGCCCGCAGGCGCCAACGCTGCACCTTCTGCACGTTGATGGGGACCACGCTCGCACTCTCCACGATTCACAGAAGTGTTACGTTCGCGCTAAGCTGTGACGGCCCCAAGAGCATGCGGAACACGAAGGTGATGTCGCAGTAGAGAACCGTTACGCATACACGGTACGTCGCCCAACATTCCAATGCCGGCCATCACTCCTCCGCACAGACGTTTCGCCCAAGTCTCCAGTCCAGCCGCGAGGACGCCTCACGCACGGATGTGTCACAACGGAGGGCTCAAAATTTGAAATTGGAACGGGGATGTTGGCGTCCTTTTTTTTTGTCAGCCTGGTACCCTCCTTGGAAAATCCTCAGGAATTAAAGATGAAGTCCTTGGAAAATTTTCCGGTTTTCGGCGTCGTCGTTACACTGCGTCCTAATTCAATGGGTCCCAAGGAAAACCCTTGGAGGTCTACAGCGGCCAATTTCATACGCATACAGGCGGCCGCGGGGGTGGATGTCCGTCATCGTGCTTGGATTTCCATGCGTCCTTGGACGTGGTCCACTGGCAGCGGCGGGGAGGCCTAGCAGGCTGACGAAAAAAAAAGGCGCCAACATCCCCATTCCAATCCCCTGATGTTTTTCAAAAAGTCCCGTGTGGGATCCAAGCCTAAACCCCCCGGGGCCAGGTCCCACTTGCACGAATTATGCCATATCGACCGTCGATAGCGAAGATCAACGGCCGCAATCTCCTAATCCGTGCAAGTGGGACCTTGCCCCCGGTTGTGGGACATAGCGCGAGGTAGATATGGGGGCCACCGGAAAAGTTGGTGTTGCCGCTATTCTAAATAGTCGCGGCTATCGGCCGTCTTTTGTCGGACAGCGAGGCTCGCCGAGCCACTGCACCCGCTAAGTACCGACGGAGGAACGATGTTTTGCTTTTTGGAGCCGTTTTTTTTTTTTCCGCCTTTCGTCCCTGATTTCGCTTTCCCGCGCTGCTCGGTTTCAAATCTGGATTCGGCACCCCGTGGCAGTTCTCGGGGTCCGTTGGCACCGACTCGAGCTTCGGATCTCGACCTTTCAAACAGTTGTGTTGCGCTACACAGCAATTGACAATTAGCAACCTTACGCCATTTGTCTAACGGGCAGCTCTCGCCACATCTCAAGCTCGGATTTTTCCCGCGATCAGAGAGGGTTGAGGTCACGCGCTAGGCTCCGTGCTCGGTGCCATCGCCATTGTCCTCGACTTCCCCTGTGCACTCGCCACTGTCATCGAGGCTCGCCTTTCTCATAGTCGTTATCCTCGACGCTTCCCTGTTAGATCATCGCCAGGATTTGATAGCCCGGCTCCTGTCGATCAATGTGCCAAGAGCTCATTCACTGCCGTTCAGGCGACCCATGCGAGCCATGCATCAATCTGTCATACCCTATTATTGTGGGTGAGTGGATGTAGTGTGTTGGTATCCGGGTGGTGCATTGTGTGTTATTAGAGTCACTATCGTCGATAGGTCCAGAAATCTGGCGGCGAAAAGCAAGCGGTAATGTGAGAGAGATGGTGTGAGTGTGTGTGTGTGTGTGTGTGTGTGTGTGTGTGTGTGTGTGTGTGAGAGAGAGAGAGAGAGAGAGAGAGAGAGAGAGAGAGAGAGAGAGNAGAGAGAGAGAGAGAGAGAGAGAGAGAGAGAGAGAGAGAGAGAGAGAGAGAGAGAGAGAGAGAGAGAGAGAGAGAGAGAGAGAGAGATTGGGTGTGACCTGTGGGTTGCCGTGAGGGCGGTTTGGCAGGGGAGAAATACGGCGAGATCGTTCGTGCGTCAGAATGATAGAAGACGGAGGGTGTGTGGGACCGAAGAGAGTAGTGAGGAAAGACAAAGGAATATGCCGCGAAGTGAAGGACGAGGGGAGGATAACGGTTAAAAACGTTTGCAAGGAGGTAGGACTACACACGTATCGTACGTGAGAGAGAGAGAGAGAGAGAGAGAGAGAGAGAGAGAGAGAGAGAGAGAGAGAGAGAGAGAGAGAGAGAGAGAGAGGATTTCTTGATCGTTTTGGTGATATTATGGTGATGGTGTCTTCATCTCAGTCGCAATCGCCTTCGTCCCGAGTTTTGGCGGGCGGTAGTTCTCGACGAGTTACTCGCCAGAGGGCTTTAACAAATTTAACGAACATACTTCAACCCGACGAGGTACAACCCAGGGATGTCTGCGCAGTCTACTCCCGCTCCTTGTCACTTGGAGGCTTGGACTTTTTGGAAGATGGCGTTAATGATGGGAGGGAGAGAACGCGAGGTATTACCGGCTGTGTGCCAAGGAAGAGGCGAGCTTCCTCGTCGGCATGCGAAGACGATCATCTTCGTCGAAAGGCGGAGGGATGGGACGTTCAGAGGGAAATCGACGCTTATCGACTGTGCTCCGAGGAAGCACGTCGAGTGTGGGAGGGAGATGGCCAAGGAAGAGGGAGGACGGCGATGGCGGATGAGCAGAGGGAGTTGGCGAAGCTTCGTAGAGAGAAGGAGGCGGCCTCAGAACAAATCGCCAGACTCGCAACCGCACTCAGCACTGCAAAGAAGGAGGCACAGTCCGCTCTGCAGAGTCTGGCTGTGATGCGTAAAGAAGGGGAGATGCTGAAGAAGATCATTGGAGAGAAGGATACAATCCTTGACTTGCTTCGGGAAAGAGTACAGTCCTTGCATTCAAGTCTAAATGAGGCGCGAATGCAACTGGCCAATGCCATGCGAGACCACTACAAGAAGAATAAAGAGCTCGCCATGGACAACGTGAAGCTTCGCGCGAGGGCGAAGTTGACAGCGGATGAGGTCAAGGTTATAAAGCATCTTGTCGCTGAGAAGATAATAGTCGAGAGGACGTTGCGGAGCCAGCTTAGTGAAAAGGAGATGTTTGTTCAGAAACTCCAAGAAGCTAATCGATCGCGATTTGCAGTGGGTAAAACGAGTACTAGGTCTAATACTAGGGACTTCGACGGGTGTGTCGACCAATCTGGATGGGTCGATGGGCGATCGGAAGCAATAGATAACGGAGACGCACGGCGGCAACGGGCGAACGGAGCACTTGTTCGTGACTCTGATAAAGGAGGTGCCCCTGCGGTGTTGAGGGATGGGGAGCGACTACCTTCATCTCGCGGGGAATCGGTTCTTGATGATTGCTTCGCCGATATCAACGAGGACGACGACGGGCCGTCCGCGTCAGCTTCAGGAGTTAGCATTGGTAATACTCGTCGCAGTCGAAGCTTCCCTGAAGATTCCAGTGTCTGGAGAAGTGATTATAGAGGGAGTTGCAGTCGAAGAAGGAGGCGTTTTTCGGGCGTGTTCGATCCCGCGCAACTGAGGGACTTCCGCTCTGATTCGTCCGACGTGGATCGCGAGGGAGACTACTGCGGAGATGGCGGGAATGGTGGTAATGGGTTGTCATCATCGGATTGGGGCGGTAATCCGCGTCCGCCCGATTCCAGCTCCGGTGCAATGATCGACTCTTGGAGAGTGCTTCCTCCAAGAGACAGACAGTGCACCAGGGAGGGTTCGTTGGCAAGTATCGTGGAAGAGGAGACGTCTGCAGTCGATATTGAGGATGTCGTCCTGTCGTCTAGCTATGCCGATGAAGCTGTGACAGATAACGAGAGGCTAGGGAGTGCCCGGCGGTCCTCTTCTCCTTTATCCCCCCTGCCTGAGGAAGAGGAGGCCTCTCCCCCCGGCTCAGCGAACAGAGCGGTGAAGTGCAAAAGCGGCGGGAATCGTGCGGAAGTATCCTGCTCGCCTGTAAGGACGGGCGATGGTGGCGTCTTCGGCCGTCAAGTTGATGACGACGAGAGCGAGAGCAGTGGGGAGGAGGCGGAGACCCGAGAAAACGAGGAAAGCCCGTCAGTACCTGTGGAGGAGAGGCTGGAAGACGAGAGTGGAGGGGACCCAGACTGTCATCATGGATTTGTTGATGGTGTAGAGAAGAGAATCTCTCGTGAGATAGATAGCGAAGTCGTAGATGTTTCGGGCAAGCAACTTGATGCTGAAGGCGATTGCCGTCGTGATGATCTGCGAGGTAATAACGGGAATGCTGAAGGAAAGATCGTGGCCGACCTTGCTCGACTTTCTCTGAACGACGGCAACGAGAGTCGGCGGTTGGTACGGCAGAACGTTGTGCAGATGAGTGACGCGTGTCCCGAGGTGGCTAGTCGACCGCCACCGCATCAGCGTGACGGATTAGTTTGTGCGCAATCGCTTTCCTCTCTCGAGCCTGGCGTGACGGAAGCCAGAGGAGGAAGGCTACGCAGCGACGACCAAATCGCTGGCCATTGTCGTGGCACCCGTCATAGCTCGGAAAGCTCGGCTGCATGTGCGGCTAGGGAGGAGCAGCGTAATGAGGAGGGGGGTGTGGCTGATCTGGAATGTGCTGCGTTGAGAAAACCGTTGGATTGTGACAGCAGCAGAGCTGCTGGGGATAGCGATGCGCATGAAGCCGATGCAACGTGTGCTTTCACTTGCTCTTCGGCGGCTGTCGACGTTGGAAAGGCCGCCAGAGTCGAAGTAGAACCGCAGATCCGACAAAAGGACAATGAGTACTTCGACGAAGAAAACTCGCGCATTCTGGGTCTGTCTGATTCTGCTGATGCTGTTGTAGAATCGTCTTGTCCTGTTTTCGTTTCATCGTCCTCCTCTTTTCTTACACAGTCGGTTTCGCTTCTTTCCTCTTCGGGACGACCCGCCATTTCCTCTACGGTGACCGTACGACGGAGAGGTGCGCGGAAGACGAAGAGCGTGCCGAGGGAAGGATCGCACGTGGCCGATGCAAGCTTCTGCCCTCGCTCTCTGGGGAGCGATGGTGCAGGAGGGCGGCCCACTAGCTCGGCATCGGAACATGGCAGCCGTGATAACGGGGACCCTGTCATTCGTCTGAGCAGCGACGACGACGAGGTCGATGCCGAACGTTCCCGTTTCCTTCGACGAGGGTCTGAATGTGGTCCAGCGGCCAAGGAGGGCGATGCAGCAGTGGCCAGGGCAGGGGCAGAGCATGAGGAGGTGAAGAGTCGAGCAGGGTTCGATTGCCGTGACGGCGTCGATTTCGGCCGTGCTCTTACGGATTCCGAGAACGGAATTGGTGAGGGAACGCATATGCTGTCAACAACAACAGCCTTCGCGGAGACGAAGGCGATTTGTACGGATAAGCGGCGCCGTAAAAGCAGGGAGCGGAGGCGCGGCGGAAGACAGTCGGTGAAGGGCCAGCAGCAGGAGGAGGATGAACCGGAAAGCAGGACGAACAGCACAGCCAGGGACTCGTGTCAAAACCTTGCCTCATGTTGTATTTCACGGGAGCAGAGCGGTGTTGGCGCCCCCGAAAGAGTTGGGCAGGAAGAAGGTCGCGGCGAGGATGATTGGGAGGACGACGAGGCTATCAACGGTCGCCATGTGTCCACATCGATGGCTGTAGCACCTCGGAAAATGGCCTGCTCAGCAACAAGGTATATTGGAGGTGCAGATGAAGGATGTCAGGAAGAAAGAGAAAGAGAGAGTAATGGCCACTTGTCAAGATGCACGGCTCGCGGTTGTCCTCCCCCCTGTGCTCCTGCTTCTCGCTCCGCACACTCCCGCGCTCGTGCTTCCGCTCGCTCTTCTGCTCGTGCTTCCGCTCCTAATCGCACCTCAGATCGCAGGTCCAGTTCCTTTTCCGCTCGCTCTTCCGCTTCCGCGTCTGCTTCCGCTTCTGCGCCTTCTTCCTCTTCCGTTTCCGCGTCGTCTGCTTCTGCTTGCGCTTCCGCTCCCGCTTCCTTTACGACCAATGCTGCAGTCGCTCTGGCTGCTGCCCGCCCTGCCCCTTCTGCTCCTCCGTCTCCTTCTCCCGCATGTGCTCCTAACGCTCGTGCCTCCGCTGCCTTTGGAGAGGCTGTTCCACCGACGTCTTCGCGCTCGTCGTCTTCTTCATCTGTAATCTTGCAAACAGAGCAGGCGCAACAGGATTCCAGTCGACCTCGCCGCATCTCCAGTACCGTCCGATCGTACCGAGAACCATCGCTGCGGACAAAGATGCGGCGACCTGACTGATTGGTGTGAGCGTTTCTCGGTAGGTGACTGGAGCCTCTTTTTTTTTTTTTTTTTTTTTTTTGGAGCTTTTTTACGGTTTCGTTGTCAGCTTCGCAATCTGGTTCTTTTTATCATGCTTGGTATAGGTCACCTCCCTGTCAATACTTTTTTTTTTTTTTTTAGCAATCTGTCAAGACTTCAGGACACCCTGCATTTGTTAGACGGCGTGGAAGATATAGAGCGTCGCTGCACCACTCGCCACTTGGGATGAACCGCGAGTGTATCTTCTTCTTTTTTTTTCCCACAAAAGTTTAAATACTACATGCGTCGTTTTTCTCCCGGGTAAAAAAAAAATAAAAAAATAAAATGGCGATTGATGCAGCGAGGCTCATTGATATAGAAGTTGCATTTACGGAATTCAAAGGACAATAAATATGAACTCGAAAAAAAAAGAAAAAGAAGAGAGGAAATAATAAGAACCAGAGAACTTGCCTGACCTGGCGTTTATCATCCATCATCCCACCATTCAATCAGCTGCGTTTCCAGGAAGATTCCACACAAACCTCTCCGCTGAACCTGAGAATTGCTAACCAGATGACTTCTACATCTGCTTGAAATACTGGACGATCGTTATGGATCTGCTGCAGCCAATTCATTTATTTCCCCCCCCTTTAATTTGGACCATTTCTCGATCTATGCGTGTCATCATTGCGCAGGGGCCATGTTAATCTTCTGTGTATCGTTCCAATTTTAACGGCTGACCGGAGGATAGCTGCAGCGGTCATTAAAAATTAAAAAAAAAAAAATCCTTCCGATCTTGACTTCACACGGAAGTTTGTCCTGGAAGGTCAGTCTTCAGATGGCCTGTCTTTCTTGAGCTAGCGTAGAGCAAGTGAGCACATGAATCTCTGGTCGAACAATGGACAAAGGTTGGTGGGTGGCGAGGGTCTTAGGACGTACTCTCGCTTGGACGGTCCTGGATGTCTTTGGCGGTAATCACGACCAGATTTACTCCCGCGAACTCCTGCTGTGCTGTGAGCACGGTTGTCTCGGGTCCCCCCTAGTGGGGCAAAATTATGACAACCTGCGGCTCTCTTGGTGCCAACCAAATGAGATAGTTGGCTTCCTCCCCTCGTTCGGTATTGGCAGGGTCTTTGGCCATCACGGGTGTGCCTCTGTGTGTGTGTGTGGGTTGTGTGTGGTGCGTGGGAGAGTACTGGGCATGGACACTGCTGTTACTCGATGGGGGCGGCAGCAAGGTCCTACAAGTAGCTATGACGGACCGCCAATTTGAACTGCGCCATGGTGAGTGGTTTCATCCTACCTCCCACATCTCACATGTAACTGGTCCATTTCATCCTGCGTCGTACATGGACCTCGCCTTTACATGGTCGTTGTCCATGCCCCTGACCTCTGGGAGCTGTGGGAGAACGGCACCATGGTCCATGCCATGAATGATGTAAGTGATTTCCTTCGGAAGGATGATGCTCTCTTGCCTCGCGAAACTCTGTACATTCGTTTATGTCAAGGATAACATAGATGTTATCTATGTTAGAGAGATGACGTAGATGGTTAAAAAAAAAAAGAAAAAAAAAAAAAAGGATAACATAGATGGGAGGCGCAGTTACTGATGTCAAAAATGGTCGGTCTTTGCGTTAGCCGGCCTCCGCCACCGGCGCCGCCCCCACCCTACTCCCTGACCACCGCGGATTAGGGCGGGGGGCAACATGCATCCCTTTAATTGTTGTGAGAGGTAGCTATGCTTGCAGGGGGCTTGCAGGGGTCCCCTGTTTAGGCGGAGTGGTAGTGATAGGTAGGTAGTGAAAGGTGAAATTGAGAATAGAAAAAAGAAAAGAAAAAAGCAAGAATATGTATTTTACTATCCAAACTCCACAATTTTGACCGCGGTAGAGTTTCGGGGCAGAACCCGCAGGAGGTTTACTTGTTTTTGTTTTTTTTGTGTTTATAAAAAGAAAATACAAATCTTTATTTGTGCTATTGAAGTCAGCACGCATCTGATGGAGTGCTCTCAAATGTTAGCGAGCGAGGCCTGCTGAGATCGGAGTGACCGCAAAGGCACACATCATTTAGGGCATGCTGGGATGGTCTTTCCTCAGGAACCCCACCGTCTCACCCGAATAGAGCGCCCTGTAGTTATCGCTGTACATTGGAAGATACAGCTAGAGTGATCGGGCGTTCTGTTCGCACAAAGGCGGTCTATTTGTCGTCAAGTAAACTTCTCGAAGTGTTGCTTGCGTCCTTACTCGGACAAATGGGAGTGTATGCTCGTTGGGTTGCCTTATGTGTTGATGTAGATCATGGAGCGAGGTGCACTGTTGTCCATAGCGGGAATGGAGATGCTGCCAAAGCTTGGCTCTCTTCGCCCATCTATTGCGGCCATGAGCTTCTCATGCAGAGAGATGTGGAGGAGCTTCATTTGCCAGAGCGTTCTCCGGTAAGAAAATGTGTATTCCTGTTTGATATCTCTGATGTTCTGTCCGTTTCTCTTCGTCTTTTGTGCCCTCTAGAAATCGGACGTCCTGTTGAGTGGATCTGTCCTTTTTTTTTTTTTTTTTTTTTTTTTTAATAGTATTTCCTTCACGTCCTTGATATTGTATGTGAAGTTTTATACTTTTTTTGAAGGGTTTTCCCCTTTTTCCTCCACTCTCCACATGTGGCCTATGTGAATTATAATTTGAACATTTTTCTGTGTTTTTGTTGACAGTACTTTAGCCTTTTCCTCCACCCTACACCTGTGGCCTCTCTGAAGGGTCTCGTTCTGTAGACTCTGACATCTTCTCGTCGGGTTCTCCTGCGTATCTCATGATGGGCAAAGTCGCAATGAGTCTGCACTAGGGCGAGGAATTGATGCTTGTATGAAAGCCTTAATTAAGATGAGAGACGATCACAGATGTCCTTCTGTGACATGAAAAGGATGGCTGTGATTCTGCATGAACTGCCCAAGCTAGGCAGGTAGTCAGGGGTGGGACGGGGAGGCCGACACACTAGCATGCCCGGATGCTACGGGGCCTTGCGCCAGCGCTGTCCCCAGTTTGTCCATGGCCTCCGAAAAGTCTGCTGGAAACATAACCTTTTCCTCCACCCTACACCTCTGGTCTGCAGCTGTCGACGTGTACGCAGAGGACTCCCCTTGGCGCCATAGGTTAGGCACTTCGGCCGTCCATAGCCGGGCTTCCACTCTGCGTCCTCCAGCAGCTCAAGGCACCGGTCAGTATCTGCACACACACACAGAAAGAGAGAGAGAGAGAGAGAGAGAGAGAGAGAGAGAGAGAGAGAGAGAGAGAGAGAGAGAGAGAGAGAGAGAGAGAGAGAGAGAGAGAGAGAGAGAGAGAGAGAGAGATCAGAAAGATCAGAAAGACGTGGACACTGTCGTCTTTTGGGAAGACATTCCTGATTGAGACTTCGACATTGTGTTGGGAGGCGACTGGAGGCGGAGTTTGAGCAGAGGAGAGATCACTATTATTTTGGCTGTTACATCTGGGCCTTGTATTCTTTCCATTACTCTTTGTCCGCTTTAATCTCGTCCTCTTAATTTCCTCATCATCCATAGTTTCTCCCCAGGATTGTGTGTGATCAAGGAGAGATCTTCCTTCCATGTATGCCTCCCTCCTTCCCATCTTACTGCATGTGACGAGCGTATTGTCAGAGTGCTATTTTCCGTGAATCGGATTGGTTGATTCCAGACTTCCAGTGCATTGTATTGTTGTTCCCCTCCACTGTGGTGATTCTTGGGTTTGTGCTGTACCTGTTGTGAGACAGGTATGCAACCATGTGTGTGTGTACAGCATGCATGTGTGCACGCGTTTCTTTCATAGTAATTCCTGCAGCCTTTCAGGCTTGGTCTGTCTCTGTTTTCGTCACAAGTACTGCTTTAGGACAGACTACTGAGTACTGGTAGCATATGGAGTAGTGGTACCGCCGGAAGAAGTCTGGTCAAATGGTACTACAAAATATTAACCTAGATAGTTATGTATTTTGCTTTTCGCTGATTGACATAAATGCTTGTGTACCATATACCTAACAGCCACATACAATTGTACGATCACTTGTTACCTTTGTGGACTGCTGGTTGAGTATTGACAAGTGTTTCTTATGCATAGTCCGCTGACACAGCATCAATCTTCATGAACAGCAGCATCTGACGGTGCTGAATTTGCTTGTTTATTTGCTTTCGCACAGGTCATCACCACACATTTTTGCCTCCTGGTCTGGAGTTGAGTGCTCTGCCATAAGCAGTCATGGACCAGTTGTGGTAGTTGTTTGCTGGCAGCCAAGGCAGCTGATACGGAGTGGGAGAGAATCTCGAGGCACATTTATACGTGAGTTATCGATCCCTGTGAGTTTCAGCAAGCAAAACAGTGGGCTATGTTAGCTACCCAATGCTTTGGGGCTACTGCAACAGAAATAGGAACTACTTTTCTCCATTCTTCTTTTTTTTTTCTTTTTCTTTCAAAGCATCCAAATGGGGCCTATTAGTGGAGGTGATAGGAGCATCCATCCATTCATTTGTTCATTCCACCATCTATGTGACTGTCTGATCCGTCAGGTGCAGTACACTCCTGTATAATTGTCTGTAACCAGTGTTCTCTTCTGTGCTTTATGGTAGTCTATATACTTCGTTGGGGACCCTGTGGGTGGATTGGGAAGTCTTTTTCCCCATCTCTTCCCAACTCCTCTCTTTTGCTTTCGAGGGGTTCGCTTCACATTCTTGCTTTTTCTTCAGCACGATCGCTTGTACAGTTTCGAGGGGTTCGCTTCGCATTCGAGGCAGTTCCATTGTCCTTCCTTTCCAACCTCGTTGATTGTTGAGCGGGTGAAACATGGAAGCGATTTTCGTATGCAATTTTCCTCCTCTGTTCGACTTTTTTACTTCGTTTTGCTGCTTGAGCTGAAGATGGGATGAATACACTCTCCCTCATCAACTGATGGGTGGGTTAGTGTTGGCTTTCATAGCGTGATAGCTTTGAGAAAGTACAACGGATGCTCATTGCTGACCTCAGTACGGGGATTATTTGAAGTCTTTTAGGGTTTTTTCAACTTTTTTGCCTATTCGGCAGAGCACTCTCGGGAATCCCGCTGAGTTGGGTCAGGGCTTAGTGGTGGATTCTCTTAGTGCTTGTCTGCTGGTCAGACACTGGCAGAGGTTTGACGGGCGGAGAGGTCTTCTCATGAGGGGGGGGGCGGGGGGCGGGGCATGGGAAAATCCGGTGAGGGTGGCGGTGAGTTCTGAGGTAGAGAGGGGTAATCAATGGGGATGCTGCTGAGATCGTAGGCAGTAGTTGCACAGAGGACATCAGCAACACAATGAGGATCAGATTTTACGACATGGAGCACAGTGTATCCTCTCTTTGAAGGCAATCAATGTTGTCCTCCTCTGTGTGTTCATGCTTTGATGAAGTTTGATATTGTTAGTGGGATGCTGAACCGGGGTTCCAGGAGGTGCAGCTCCCCACCAATAAAAAGGGATCATCACAATGAAAAAGAAGGGAAAAACACAGAGAGTGCAGTCCCATCACTCTCTCATCTCCGGCTTTTCTTCTATTTTTCTGTCGTCCGCTTGTGATACATTAGTTTTCCCTCGTCCATGTTTAAGGGACACAGTAATATCGCTCAGCTCGCACCCTATGGGCCCCTCAAACAAGACAACACTGTGAGGTCGTGGTAGTTTTTGTCGATACAGCCAATCACAAGAATTCTAGAATTATTCTAAATAAATTTGATGTGATCGAAAAGCATGACGGTGCTTGCATGCAATCCAGCCATGGAAACATCTAAAAGACACTGTGAGAATGCGTCCCCTTGCCTTCTCTTCTCCACTTGTCATTCTGTCTCTCCATCACCCAATCCTCTCTCAAGACACCGGATTCTGCGGTCGCATGTTCGTTCTTGTCCATCTCTCCGTGCCCACACTATGGGATTCTCCACACTCGTCTCCGACCTCCTCATATTCATCCCTCCCACCATATTTCTCTCTGCTACCCCCGGAATGGTCCACGCCTTCCTTCGCTCTCTCTCTTTTCTTTCTATTCTACCCACCTCCCACCTTGTCCCCCTTCACAAAACACGGCTACTGATTCGGACTGTTCCCCCCATTTTTGCTTGTTTCCCCACTTGTTTAACAGTTAATCGCTGTCATCAGTACGCACCATCTTCAGTATGCACCATCGGGCAAGGTGGACCGACCCAAGCCCAGCCATTTCCCAAGAACAATGCTGAACCTGCCAGCCAGATTATCAGTTACCTTCCCAGTTGTGGAAGAAATGATCCGAGAAGCGACTTCATCAACATAGCCATGGGTCTTATGCTCCCCCCCCCGGCATCACCAGCCATCCCATCTGCCCATGTACTCGCCATTCGTTCATGACCCTTCCACTTTCGCCCTGGCTCTCATCTCAACAGTATGTCCCTCCCTTGTTATGTCAATTAGAGAGCTCCTCATCACCAACGCCCTCCAGCAATAAGCGTCGAAATGGGAGACAATAACGAAGATCGTACGTCTCCAAACACCATCAGCTTCCAAGCCAAACTTGAATGAAAGGACAGTTTGTTGATCATCTGAATGCAAAAGCAGGGTCAGAAAGCAAACCTATACCAGTATTTTACTACCTTCTCCATGTAGTTTATCAGCTACATTCCCTTGTGAACAAGTGCTCACTTTTTTTCATGTTGCTGCCATCATGAACACATGCAGCCACATTCCCTTGTTTTCTCAAGTATTTTCCTTAGAACACATGCAGCATCAGTTAGAACTTAAGAAACAAGTTCTCGCTTACTTCCATGTTGCTGCCATCAAAACTCGCAGCGTTTTCTTGTTAGTTGTAACCATATTCCTCACGAGTGTCGACAAGTCGTCCTCGTATGTAATTTTCTATATGGGACGCTGGGCCCGGTTCCCAGCACGTGTTGCTCCCCACGAATAGATTGGAGATCTGTTCCCCCCCCCAAAAAAAAAAAAAAAAAAGTCGTCCTCGTCATTGTTGTAAGGTAGGGCCAAATGGAAGTGGTGTTGCAATCCAAGGACTTGCGAAAATGTATGCATATAAATGACCATTTTCAACCACTAGTCCCCACAATGAATGAAAAATGGGACTCGTATGAGTGCGCCATGATGTGGCAGCGGCAGGTGGGCTTTCGGACTTCGCAGCCTTAGACAGATGGCATCTGTTGCAGAAATTTGGATTCTCTGACTTAGACAATTTACAGAGCAAACAGTTTAGCGTGAAAAAAAAACAAAAAGAAACTGAAGAAGTTTAGCGTGAAAAAAAGAAAAACTTCTGAAAAGCCTCAACCAGTGTTTGGTCCCGGTCGTTCAAAAAGATGAAAAATAGAGGAAAAGGATAGTTTGCAAAAGACCCCCATAAATTTAGATATATGCCAAAATGCCCCTAAAAGATGTGGGTAGAAAGGAATACCCCTCTGACAATTTTTATTTTTTTTGTGAAATACCCCTAGTCTCGGTTGGACCACCGTCTTTGCAATATACGAGGTTCTGGGTACCATCCAACTTTGCAAAATACCCCAGCACTGCCCAACTTTTGCCAGGTGCTATTTCAAAAGGCCAAGGCCCAAACAGGGAGGTCCAGACTGCAAAGTTGCACACCCGCCTGACGGGGCACAACACAAAGATTTCGCATATATCTGTAGGGGTATTCAGCTCTACCCCCATCTTTCAAGGGGAATTTTGCATATATCTCAATTTAGGGGGTATTTTGCAAAGTATCCCTGTGAAAAATTGTAAGATGGCAAAAATAAATCTTGTGCCAAACATGCACATTTTTCAGTTTGTTTTACGGTCTTTTTTTTTTGGCCCCGCTTAGCTGTACTGGTTGCGTTTTTTTTTTTTTTTTTTTTTTTTTAAAATTGAAACATATAGTCACTTATATTGCTCAAATAAAATGGACCGGGGACCCACAATTCTTTTTTTTTGTTTTAAAAAAAAAAGGTAATTGTCATTAGCAGCACCAAAGGAGAGGCCGGGAATCCTCAACAAACAACCGGGAGTAACATGTATCGTCGCAATGAACTGGGGGTATTACCCCGAACGGATACTGGCGTTGGAAGACCTCCAGCTGCAGAAGTGGCCAACTCTAGACCGCTGCGCTGAGACTCCAACCCAAAAAAAAAGGAAAACAAAAAACAAAAGGAAAAGGAAACAAGAAACAAACAACAACCAAGCCCTCACGGCCTTAAAAGCCAAACAACCCAGAAAAAAAAACAAAAAACAAAAAACAAAAAAAAACAATCATCTAACTACCCAAGGTCTACCAATACTACCCCATAGGCACTACCTCCAACTCAACCTAATTGTCAAGTGATCTAATCAAGCGATCACTAGGATCCAGCCGGATCCCCACCACACAATAAACAGATCGAGCTCCTCTCTCGGCCTTTCCCTCTGCCTGTCTACCAGCGACCGAGCCGGAACCGAGCGAACCAGGTTCGTTCTACTCTTCCCGTTAATCCTTAAGTAACCAGTCCTGCATGACAATCTCTTTCGAATCTGTCACCGAAACAATTGAATTTTGGAGGCACCAGGTTTCACGAAACCATTTCAATCCGCACATCCCTGTGTTTGCAGAAAACCCCTTTCTCCGCCAGTCGGCCAGGATTGTGGTTCTGAGACTTCTCAAAAAAGTATCTTACCTGTTTATTTGACCACTCCTTATTCTCGAATACCCTGGCATTTCGCTCTTGCCAGATAGTCGAGACTCCCACCGCACGTATGGTCTGAGCTACATAACCCCAACCCTTAGTGATAGAGAAATCGTCCGGCAACCCCCCCAACAGAATCCACAGCTTAGACCAGTGAAAGGCCCGTCCAGATATTCGATCCCATATGGACTCGATCCATTGCCACAGTTTCACCGATCTGGGGCAATCCCACCAAAGGTGAATGGTGGATTCAAAGGCCCAGCCACATCTCTCACAGGTTAGCTCAATCCCAGGTCCATGCTCAGCTAACCATACCGCCGACGGCGTTGCCACTAACGACAATAGCCACAATATTGCCGCCTGACGTTGACAAGCTATCAGCTTCAGTTGCTCCCAACATTTACCCAGTGCTTTACCCACCTCCATTCTATCAATGTCAAGCAGCCTCGCCCAACGTGTCCTGGCCACCACTTCGGGGACCTTTAGTGGAATAACCAGGTGATATCCAATTCTTTGGTGATAATCTAACAGGTGCAGGTTCTCACCTTGTTTCCCTTTAGCTCTCCATGTCCATTGAGTCGGGTC